GAATTGTGAAGGAACTGAATGTAAAGGAAGCATTTTCTTGTGAGTTGAGAGGCTAGGAAGCAGCCAGTGAGGGGCAGTGTACCAAGACGCTGGGCCATAATAAAAAATGTTCCGTTGAGTGTGGTTGATGGCGGGAATGATGAAGTGGAAAGAGAGATAAAAAGTGAAAAGAAGATTGTGTGAGATGTGGAAGATGGTTGGCAACAGAGAGAAGTACAGTACCTGGAGGATAAACTGAGATGGTTCAGGAGAGAAAGGAGGAAACTAACTGTCAAGAGGGGAGTTAGAGGTAGGCAAAGAATGACATGAGGATAGGTTGTAAAGAAATGTCGGTGCTACTATAGTACCTGAGTATGTTTGTTGGTTGGAATGATGAGGAACAATCTGAACAGAAAACAAATGAATACAGTAATTGAACACAAAAAATTTAGGAATTGTCGAGTAATATCCAAATATTCGGAACTCAGTTAATTCGTATTTTCAGTAATTCGAGTGACGCAGAGTCTCTTTTTGTCAAATCAATGAGGGTATAGTGCCGTTTGTGGTCCACCGAATTACTGAAAATACAAATTAATCGAGTTCCGAATATTTTGACATTATTCGACACTTTCTCAATCTTTTTGTTCAATTATTCGTTCGTTTTCTGTTCAGATTGTTCCTCATTATTCCAACCAACAAGCATACTCAGTTACCATGCCTTGACTGCCACACAAAATAATCTTATTTATAATTACTGTACAAACAAATATTTTTTAAGTGCACAAACAGTAATAATAAAGTAAATAATACAGTAATAAATAAATGTAAGACTTACTGTACATTGTGAGGTGAACTGATAATATGTGGATGATATTCAGAAGGTGTAATAGTATTGAGGATCAGGTCTGGGGTCCACTGAAGATTAATCCCCAACCTACCTAACTCAGGAGACTTTTCCTTTGTTCTATGTATTTCTCCCTTGTTTTGTTGTGTTACTTGGCAGAAGAGGGACCTATAGTGTGTTTTATCCCAGCTGAGAAGAGATACGTAATTTGTGTATTATTGTGGGTAAAAATAATTATATATTAAATGCGTCCTCCGAAAGCGTCAATTTGCCACCAGAGTTTAACAGTTAATTCTTGTATAATATTTCTGATAAACTTCCTACATGTTTATGTTTGATATAATTAATGTATGAATCTTTAAATAATTAAGCTAAATGTCTTTCTCGTCAGAAATGGTCATTATGAATAAACTCATTTAGAAATAGCTACATCATTACTTCAGGAGGAAATCGGACAGATTTGCAACAGCCAATCAGGTGTAACTCTTGAGGAGGGGGCGGGGCATCTCTTCTCATCTGATAAAATATGCACAATAGTCAAATCAGCTCCAAAATTTCATCTTATATTTCTCCAATGAGGGTTTTTACTTCATTTACCAGTGTGGCCGTTACACTTATGGAATATCATCTACGATCTCACCTCTCATTATTTATTACTGTATTATTTACTTTATTATTGTAAGTATATTTTATAACTATTTATATTTGCACAATAATTATAAATATAATATTGTATATGACAGCCAAGGCAACTTTTTGAACCACTCAGTTATTTCACATTCATTCCAAATTCAAATCGTTTAATTAATTTTTTGAGAAACATACGAATTAAACCCAGTAGGAATACAGCGATCCTGTTCAATAGCCAAAATTCATCGTTTAAAATATTTTAAGTCCAAAAATTCATTGTTTAAAAATATTCTGAGTCCAAAAATTTCATCATTTAAAATATTCCAAGTCCAAAAATTCATCGTTTAAAATATTTTAAGTCCAAAAATTTCATCATTTAAAATATTCTAAGTCCAAAAATTCATCGTTTAAAATATTCTAAGTCCAAAAATTCATCTTTAAAAATATTCTAAGTCCAAAATTTATTCTAAGTCCAAAAATTCATTGTTTAAAAATATTCTAAGTCCAAAAATGGCCAAAATTATTCCTGGGCAAATTTTGAGTAATAATAAATTTTTGTGTGGTTTTAGAGGTAAAACATTTGTGCCATTCTTACGAGCTCCAGCTTGGCATCTGTGTATTATAAGGCATAACGGACTACCTGGACGTGGGGAGAGTAACTCACTGGGCCCCTACTGAGTTACTCTTCCCACGTCCAGGTATTCCATTATGCTTGTATTTTTTTATATTATTGGTGAATGATAATTTGAAGGCCTTCCTCCGGAGACGCTTCCGATTATCTTTTACCAAATTTTTTCAACGTTAGTCCTGGCAATGGCAAACTCAAAAAACACTTAAGGGTAAAAAACGGGAAATTTTTTTGCTCAAATTTTGCAATTTTTAGCCATTTTTTCATAAAAAAAATGCCAATTTTTTCATATTTTTAGCTATTTTTTCATATTTTTAGCTATTTTTTCATATTTTTAGCTATTTTTTCAGGTTTTTAGGTTATTTTAGTTATTTTTTTTATTTTATATATTTTATTTATATATTTTTATTTATATATTTTATTTATATATATTTTTTATTAATATATATTTTATTTTATATTTTTTTATTTAATTATATTTTATTTATTTATATTTTTTTTATTTATATATTTTATTTATATATATTTTTTTATATTTTATATTTTTTTATTTATATATATGGTTTATTTTCAAGTTTATATATATTTTTCATTTTGTATATAATAAGTTAGATATTTTTTTTCAAGTGTTTCATCAAATTATTTTAGCTTCAAAATCGAAACTTGAACTTAGTCAATTTACCACCTTAAAATTTAATATTGCAAATGCTGGAAAAAGGTTAATAAAGGCGTATTGACATTTGGGCATTTATTAATGGAAACTTGGTAATATAAATTTGCAGTCCAGGGGAGCGGTAGTCCAGGGCAGCAGCACACACAGAGCAGAGCCGTCTAGGACAGCAGCATGCACAGAGCAGAGCCGTCCAGGGGAGCGGTAGTCCAGGGCAGCAGCACACACAGAGCAGAGATGTCTAGGACAGCAGCACACACACAGCAGAGCCGTCCAGGGCAGCAGCCAGCAAGCACAGAGCAGAGCCGTCCAGGGCAGCAGCCAGCAAGCAAGCAAGCACAGAGCAGAGCCGTCCAGGGCAGCAGCCAGCAAGCAAGCACAGAGCAGAGCCGTCCAGGGCAGCAGCCAGCCAGCAAGCACAGAGCAGAGCCGTACAGGGAAGTCCAAGGCAGTAACCAGTAATCACAGTCTAGGGCAGCACGGCACTCCAGTGTTCAGAACAACATTTCTATACAAAATAAAATGTAAAATTAATATTCAAATTTTTTAACCATAAAAATGTTTTAAATATAGTAATGACAAAATGAACTGTAGTGTTTTAGACAAAATTCCTTAACACTTGACAGAACCAAATTTATAAACTCAATAGATAAATAAGAATTTTTGTTAATTTGAATTTTTCACCAAATGATCCTTGAGAACAAGTGTCTAGGGAATATTATCAGTAACTGTACAGCAACTTAACCTAAGTGTACAAGTTATGGTTCATATTAACTAAACTATAAAAACCAAAAACCTTTCATTACAAAACTTACCCACAAGTGAGTTTAGTTTAACCATAATAGTTATTGATGCTTAACTACAATATTTCCTGTATCTTTGGTTCATAGTTTTGGTAATATATTTTAAATGTTTTCTTTCAATGACTTGACCCAGAACTTATTGATTTGTGATGAATATTTTTACTTTCCACTAACTTTACGTCAATGAATTCCTCGAGTGGGTCAGTCACAGGTCTGGTACAGTATTACAAGTGAATGTTGCTAAGAGTACTTTATTATTTACTAAACATACTCATCTTGTAGGTAACTTTATGTACTTTACTGAATTAATTAAAGTCAAGCATAAACATGACCAATAATTATTTCTGGTGTTATAAATTTGATGTATTAAACGATTGGTTGAGAAGTTATAAGTAGTTACGGCCAGAGTCCAGTTTTGGGGCTTTTAACTTTGGTCAATTGTTATGATATTCCTGTCATCAATAAAGGATCATAGGTACAGTCAGGGTCAAAAGTGTTGAACACTTGGCAATATCTGTCATCTACTTGAGTTATATGATTGGGATATACTGTACTAATAACACAACAGTACTATCATATTATGCCTGAACCACAAAATAGGATTAAACTCTACTTAATACCAAAGATCTTCGGTACTTACATGCCAAATACTGTCAAGTGTTCAGCACTTTTGACCAAGACTGTACATCAATTCTAGCCCCATAATCCCCTTTCAATATTCTCGACCCTTTACACATTTTCTCTTATAAATTTAAGTATAATTTCTCCATTACTTTCTATTTTGTCTTGAAATTTATAGCACCAAGAAATCTAGTATGGTCATTGAATATCCCAGAGCAATTTGTTTGCCTTTGGTTTTAAGGATAAACTGGCAGAGAAATTCCAATCCGAGTGTTGGAAAAGTTCATTTTGACACAGGACCATAAAGTAAACTTTACTCCCCTGTAAGTGATCATTCCGAGACAATTTTATATGTAGTATCTTGTTTTTTGTATATTTTTATATCAACTGAACTTGTTATATTCTTTACCTGAGGTAGAGAGGAGGGGTGGAAGGCTGGGTTTTGGCTGTATCTTGGCACCTGCTTCCTTTAGTTGTGTTGTGAATCACTTGCCATCCTGATATTGGAGGAGAGAAGCCTGGTACAGCAGTACAAGTGAGGCAAGATGTGTGGTACAGCAGTACAAGTGAGGCAAGGTGTGGTACAGCAGTACAAGTGATGCAAGATGTGTGGTACAGCAGTACAAGTGAGGCAAGATGTGTGGTACAGCAGTACAAGTGAGGCAAGATGTGTGGTACAGCAGTACAAGTGAGGCAAGTTGTGTGGTACAGCAGTG